TCGAGTCTTACTACAAAATACCGGTTTCTTTTCTTCACTTCTTAATGAGATGGCACGTGAATTTAATCAGGAGGTAAGAGTCTGTGTGCCTAAATTTAAGGAAGTCTGTGACCACATACGTATTGAAGATAGTTGATAAAATACTGAATCTTTAAGTTCTTTGAAGCATTGAAATCTTTACATTATAAATCTTGTAACATTTGGGTTTTTTCTGTTGCTTGGTGTAGAAGAAAGAATGGTCCTGTAAATAGCAGATCAAAGTCTTACAATTTGTTCTTATCCAAAATGACTGATTGAATTTTACTTAGCTAGAGAATAGAATTTTGATTTGTTTATGACTGTAGTATTCTTTACTGATTCATAAGCTGAAATAGGAACACTTCACATATATTCATGAACTGTCTTGTTTCTTTCCTTTAATGATTTAATTTAAAGCCATGGATTGAGGAAATTTCTGTTCTCATAATATTGTGGGTGAAACAGACTATTCAGTTAAGTTTGAAGAGGTTCTTCAGTGCCTTAGTTACTTGTGACTAAATACTGTATGTGATATTCTGTAACATTCTGATGTTTTCAGTCATTAATCTGTCTAGGCTTATGAGATGTGGAAGACAGACTCTATTTAACTCATATCTTTAGATTGGAGGGAACAGTTGATGAAATCTTTTTTTCTTTTTCTTTTTTCCCTTTTTCTTTTTTGGTTTTTCAAGACAGGGTTTTTCTGTGTAGTTTTGGTGCCTGTCCTGGATCTCACTCTGTAGACCAGGCTGGCCTCAAACTCAGAGATCCACCTGGCTCTGCCTCCCATGTGCTGGGATTAAAGGTGTGCGCCACAACCACCCGACAGAAATCTTTTAACCTATAATGGAAATAAATCTAATTCAGGGAGATCCAGGGCAAGCAAGTGGAAATTTTGCCATGGAGAACTGAACCACAAATTTGAGAGCCCAGCCTTCGTTTCAGTGACTTGATAGGAAAAATGTTTTCATTAGTCTGTTAATTTTAACTGGGACAGGAACTTTGTAAAAGTTTATTCAGTTTAATTCAGCAAAATTTTTGAGTGATTTTGGCAATGTAATTCACAGCATAAATTATGTGTTATGGCAAATAGTATTTTAAATTTTTATAAAAACTCAATGATAGCATTTGTATTCCTATCTCATATGCAAAAATATTAGAGATTTGGAGAGCATCCACACTGCTAGTATATAGAAGAGTTGGAATGCAGACCCCAGCAACTCTGTCTTAGCATCGGATGCCCCAGAGGTAAATTCTTCTGCTCTCACTCCACAGCAGACAGTCTCCTCTAGTCACTGGGCATATTTGACCAGAAAGTTCATAGACATTTTTAAGGGAAAAAAGTACATAAATTCTTTAATAATATAAGCATTGTGCTAGAAATACAAGCAGTATACTATGGAAACAGAAAAGCCATCAACTATGTTATCAAAACAATATTTAATTAGAAAAATAAAATGACCTGTAGTTTTATGTCAGCATTGTATTTGGCTAAATTCAAATGTATTTCAGTAAATTATTAAGTGACCTAATTGCAATTAAACTATAGATAACTGAGCTTTTTTAAGCTTTAAAATATTAGACATTAACATTATAATTTGTATTGAACACTAAACCTAACTTTCCTTCTCATGTAATCAAAGCACCATGTAAGAGCTATCCCATTCACCCTCGGTAACTTTGAAAGCAAACACGTTTTTAAACTTAAGTGATTTTAAATATTATGATGGAAACAACCTACTATCCTTTGTCTGTAACTTCTTCCAGTCTTACTTTTCCTTTCCTTGTTCCCCAGTTTTGCACTTTTCTCTTTTAAACTTGAGGTTTTTTTTAAAATATTTTATTATTTTTAATTTGTGTATGTGTCTGCGTGTGGGTATGACACATAAGTGCAGATCACTGTAGAGGCCAGAGGCGGCATATCTCCATAGATCTGGAGTAACAGGTACTTGCGAATCGCCCGATGTGGGCGCTCGGAGTCAAATCTAGCTTACAGAGTGTCTTTCCTGGGACTCTGCTTCCATGTCCCTAAGCTTTTGATTTTGCTCATGTGTTCAGTAATGTTGGGAGCAATGTGTTCATCATCCAGGCAGGTGAAGTACCAAGAGTGACTACTTCCTGAAATTGTGTGCCCTCTACCCCTTGAGTGCTCACCCTAATTCTGGGCCTGTTTCTGTATCATTACTCTGAATATGGCCTGTGTGTCAGGTGCAATCTTTACTTTTTATAAAGGCCATGAAGCAAGAATAAGTTGTACATTTTTTCAGTTCAGAAAATAAAAATTATAGTATATACTCACATGATTTTAAGTTTTTTGTAGGAGGACAAATGACCATGTCATTTGTTTACATATTGTTTATGGGTAATACGGGGGATTGAGTAATTGTGACTAGGCTATAGTGGCCCACAAAGCTGAAAGGCTTAATACTTGACCCTTTACTAGAAAAACTTGCTGATTCCTCATATCCAAATTGCTTTTTGAGTTAGTTTCCTGCTGTGCAGTTTACTATTAAATGTTGCTGTCTATTAAATATTTTTATAATAAATGTGTTTTAAATAAAATTACATTGAAAATTTGGTTTTGCAGATTCAGTTTTTATTAAATTGTGTCTATCAAGGTAGCCTCCATTTTTATTAATTATCTTTTCATTGTTTTGTTTTTGAAATGGTATCTTGCTCTGTAGACTAGGCTGTTATTGAACTTATTTGTAGGTTAGACTAGTCTCAAACACACAGCAATTCTACTGCCTCAACCTCTCAAGTGCTAGATATAGGCATGAGCCACTACACTTGGCCTATTAATTATATTTTAATAATAAAACTCCATAGTAGTTTTATTGTTGTTGTCATTTGCTATTTAAATTTTGCTTACCATATATTCCAATAAACTTCCATATAGCATGTGTACCATTTGTTTTCAAATTAAATGTGAATTGAAGACATGGTGATATAAACTAAACTGTCTTGATCCAGTGTCATAGTAATAATTTTACAACACTTCTAAACCCAAAGGCATATCAACTGTGCTAGCTATGAAGTAATTAGGTTTAAACATCGTAAGAATTTATGTCTTAATACTTTAGTAACTATTAAAAATAATATATAAGGCCTAGAAGATGGCTCAGTGGTTAGAGTACATGTTGCTCTTGCTGAGGTTCATTTTCCATCACCCATACTGATGGCTCACAGCTGCCTGTAACTTCAACTCTGGGGAATCCAGGACCCTTTCCTGACTTTCCCCAGCACCTGCATACATGCACAAACACCCACACAGACACATGCATGCACACATATTTAAAAATCTTTTAAAAGTACATAGAAATCTAGAATCATTTTTGTTTTGTTTTGTTTTTTGGTTTTTGGAGACAGGGTTTCTCTGTGTAGCTTTGCGCCTTTCCTGGAACTCACTCTGTAATCCAGGCTGGCCTCCAACTCACAGAGATTCGCCTGGCTCTGCCTCCCGAGTGCTGGGATTAAAGGCATGCACCACCACCGCCCAGCCTGGAATCATTTTTAATCTCACTTTTAAGTGGCATAATTACTGACAAATGCAGGTGTGCTTGCTGTTGGACAAGTCTCCGATTCTTAAATCATGATGTTGTGTGAGATCTATGCACCTTCATTTCCTGGTCCACCTGACTCTAGGTCATTCTTTAAGAAGAGAATTGCAGTGTTAGAACTGGGAACTGAGCCGAGCTGGGTTCTTGAAGCACCTTGCAAATGTTGCTGTTTCAATTTTTTTAATTATTATTTTTTTATTTTATAATTAATTTAATTTTACATATCAGCCACGGATTCCCCTGTCCTCCCTCCTCCCACCCCCAGCCTTCCCTCCCAATCCACCCCCCATTGCCACCTTCTCTTTGAGTTCACTGTACCATCTCAGGTGCAAAACATAATTTAGGGAATTCAAATGTAAAGGATTTTCAATTAGTAACTGCTTGCCTGTTAATTAGGAATAGTATGACTGTTGACTAGGAAAAATGTAGCAGTCTTAATAGAAAAGAATAAGAATGTAAGGTTGATTTTATGTGACTGGATTTTTAAGGTAGAGGTTTGGCATTAAATATTTCTTTAAAGGTGATAGAACTAGAAAAAATATTTATAAATAAACCTGATAAATAGATCTTTTAATGTACATGATCAGTTTTCTTGGTCTTTACTGGAGAGAGAGGGATTGCTACAAAAAGGCAAGTCACTGTGAATGTTAATCAAATCTACAAGATACTTTCTTAGCAGTATCTACCCTTTGGTGGGGACACATCACTGAGCACCTTGCTAAGGTAGCACATTGACTCAGTCATCTCTGCCATTCTGTACTATGGATTTAGTTTACTTTTAGTTTCATTGTGTTTTATAGCTGTTAGTTCGTTTTCTTTGGGATTCAGCAGGTTAGGGTTGCAGCCAGCCTTGTTCTGAGAGGAGGTATAGCAAATCAGACTGGCAAATTACAGAACACTGAACAGTAATCATTCAGTTGAAAAAAACTATCTAAATACAAATATGTAGACTTTTCATTGTGCCAGAAAGAATGGTCTTGATTGATTTATTAAATAATGTTATTCAAATCACTCATTGGCTACACTACATACAGGTGTTTATTACATTTCTTTGTCTCTCATGATTAATTGGAGTCAATTTTTTGTTTTAAATTATTCTCCAGACCAAAGCTTGTCTCCAGTTCCATCGGTTTTGTGTTTGTATGATTGAACTTTAACCATGTCTTAGGTTTTAGATGTCAACAGCACTTACTCTTATACAAGAAAAATTTCAAATATTGAGATGTCTTCCTTCTTCCAGATGGACCAGCTTTTAGGAAATGTGATTGAGATGTGGGTTGATCGAGTGGACAACATCACACAGCCTGAAAGGAAGAAGCTTTCGGCTTTGGCTTTACTTTCTCTTCTGCCTTCTGATAATAGGTGAGGAAATGACAAGTTGCTTTCTCTTTTTCTTTTCTTTCTTGTGTGTATATATATATATATATATATACTTTTATGTTTATGGGTATTTTGCCTGCATGTATGTCTACGCATCATGTGTGTGATGCCCCTGGAGGCCAGAAGAGGGTGTGGGTACTAGGGATCCAGGTCCTCTGGAAGAGCAGCCAGTGCTCTTAAGCACTGAGCCATCTTTCCAACCCAAAGCTGGTTTCTTTTAAAACGTAACATAGCTTAGTGTGGTGTCGTTCACCTGTAATACTAGCACTCTGGAGGCTAATGCAGCCTGGGCTGTAGCAAGAATATCCTAAAGGAAAAAAAGAGCAAATACTAACATAATTATTCAGATGTCTTTAAGTACCATGAGGCAGACTTCCTGAGCCCAAGGTTGAGTGGTGAGCACAGATGGTGAGTTCTTAGGTTACCACCCATTTTATTTAAGAACAGTTTTTTATTTGTTTGTTTTCTGGCCATCTTTCCTGCTGTAGCAACTCTGCAAGGAAACCTCCACTCCTATTTTTAGTTTGAATTTTTAAAGACAAAAGCAGTTCTGTACATTTGATACTGTATGAGAAAGATGATTTCAATGTCTTAAAACTTTATATTTTAGGGAATTTTTAGAGAATCATTAACTAATGATAAATTAATGGCATGAGTCCACTATTTTTTTTTTGCAGTTGTTCAATACAACTTCCTGTGTCCTTTCTGTTCTAACAGTTCCTTAGCTAAAATAATTTTCAAATTCTGAATGTTCAGTTTGAATTTTCTCTGCCTTTTTTAAAGGCTTATATTATTTGCGCATAGAGGATAATATGTCCCTCAGCTGATTTTTTTTCTTAATGAAAATAATATCTGCGTTTATTTACATATACCTTCTTTTAATGCTTTCAGAAGATTTTTTTCCTTTAAAAGGCATAGGTTAAACCACAACTATAACTTGTAGAAACAAATGATAGTAATCCTTTGGTGTTTGCTCTCTAAATTGGTGATCCATTTTCTAACTTCAGAAACATTTAATATATGTGTTTTGAAGAGCTCCACACAGACAAGTTCTTTGAGATGACAAAGTGCTTTAAGAATTTGAATTTCATTTGTTTTAGGTCAAGTATACCCCAGTGGGGAGTAGTTAATGTAAGGTAGTTGAGTGATTTAAACACGGAATAACAAAACAGCAAAATCTATGCGTATGATGTCTAGCTTTCTTAGAAAATGCTTTGTAATCCCATTTTCTGAGTGCCAGATTTACTGTGCTTTGATTGTGTATACTTTGATCTGCAATTCTCATTGCAAAAATAGTGTGTGCAGTGTTGTATTTGGGAATTTATTTTTAAGAATTTTCCAAGTTTGTTTTTTTCCTTTTTTGTATATTACTTTGTTTGAAGACAATGTCTAAATATGTAGCACTGGCTGGCCTCAAACTCAGTGTATGGACCATTGATCTACCTCTTCTTCCCCTTGACTGCTAGAATTCCAAGTGTGTGACACTACCCCTGGATGTTTGGGTGATTTTTTTTTTTTAAATACATTAGACTAGTAGTATTTAAGGTAGAAAGTAGGTTCCAAAGAGCAATATTTTTGTTGTATAATTAAGAAAAGACATTAGGGATAGGCGTTTTATAAAAAGAAACAGGGTCTGATTGGTTAATAATGTAGGAGGCTAGAAGTTCAAAATCTTATGCATGCTCCTCTTTCTGTCTCCTGCCTCATGCGTGGTGATTTGACTAACCTCATTGTTCCTAAGTGAATATTTAGTGTAGTAGACTTAAATTTTCATCTTTAAAAAATGCATTCATTTTGTTTATTTTTTAAATTATATTAAGGATATAAGGCCATTTTCATGCAAATACATAATATACTTGAAGATATTCCCCCATTTTCATCTTTTGAAGTAAAATGAGTCTTTTGTTGTATTTTATCCATAAATCCTTAAGGCTAAGAGAATGATTTTGAGGCAAGATTCACCTGCCTTCTCTTTGTTTTTGTTTTTTGTTTTATTTTTTTCTTTCTGTCCTTTCTTGGGGCTGGAATCTGGTGCCTGGAACATACTAGGTAAGTGTTGTACACTGAGCTAAGCGTCCAGCTCTTTCAGCTTGTTCTTTTTATAGCAACTCACGCTCATGGAAACTAACTGGTGTCCCAAAAGAACTACATTAATCCCTTCTAGGAGCAGTGTCTCTTGTGGTCTCATCACCTTCCCCTAGCTGCCACTTCTGAGAAGTTCTACCACCCACCTCTCAACCTTGCTTTGTGGAGAGTCGTGTTCTAGTTAGACCATTTCCATTTTTCCTGGTGGAAGCATGTTTTAAGTGGTTCTGCCGAACTGCTCCTCTCCTGGGGAAGCTTACTTGATACAAAGGCTTCTGACTGATGTTTGCTGATTGAATATTTTGAATGCCATGAAAATCATTTGTAAGCACATATACTTTGGTGTTTACAGAGCCCGATGCCCAGGTTCAGATCTTCTGCCACTTTTTGAGTATTAATGAGTTGTTTAACTTCTGTCTCTTTAACTGTAAAGTTGGGTAAAGAATAATGCATCTTTTAAAGCATTGATGTTGCTGTTGAAGTAACTCATCTAAGAATTTGGTGCATCCTTCTCATGCATTGTGTTACGAATTTATATTAAGAAGCTAGTGGAAGTTTCTTGTTTTCATTAATGCTACAGTTTACACTGCTGTATTTATGGTCCAAAATGGAAAATACATACATTTAATGTTCCTTTTTGAAAATAGTTATTGTATTAACTACCAAAAGAAACTTGTTCTTAAATTAGTGAGTGCCAAGTATTATTTCTGTATCACCAAACTCTTTCTGCTTCATGGCAATGTCATTTTCAAAGGGACATTTAAATACTCTGTACCCATGTAGACAAACAGTAATGTTAGATTTGGCATTTATAAAGGTACTGTGTATTCTGTTAGGTTTTTAATAAATAAGTGTGTGTGCCATGGTAGTTGTGTAGATGTGAGAGGACAGCTTGGAAATTGGTTCTCTCCTTCTGCAATATGGGTCCTGTGAACTGAATGTCAGCCTTGGTGGTGGATGCCTCTACTTGCTCTGCCATCTCCCTGACTCTAGTCTGTTGTCTCTTCTGTTCTAGCCGAATTTAAATCAGTTTGTGCAGACACAGACAGAGTTGTTTTCTTTCAGTGGGCATTTTGTTTAAAGTTTTCACTTAGGGATTATATTTGTAAGGAATGTTATAAAGTGCATGTTGCTTTTTGGAAAAAAATTAACAGTTATAATACTGTAATTTAAGAACAAGCTTCTTTTTGTAGAATTCAATTATTTTATGTAATTTCATAAAGGTTATTTATAGTTACTGAAAGAGAATTGGCTAAACAAGCGACAGTCTCCACCCTGAAATGCGTGGTTAAGGCAATACAGAGAGACCGCTAACGTGGAAAGGTGACGGGGGAGGGCAGCTAATGGGGCTCTGGTCTGTGTTTCCCCCTTTCGTTTGAATTTAATAGATTGTCCTTTGACTCTTCCCTACTTGATTTGTGTGACTCAGTGAAAGTGGTGTGTATGGTGCTCCCCACTGCTTCACTGCTACTGAAAACACTAATAAAGAATTACTGAGAAGAGTCAGAAATCATGACTAAACAGTATGTAACAATTTTATTCAGCTCTATAAACATGTTTTATTTATTCAGTTGTGTGAAGGGGCATGGGTGTGCTATATATAGCATATATATTGAGGTCACATGACAATTTTTTGGTTCTTTCCTTTCACCGTGTTGAGGCAGGGTTTGTCTTTTTTCTGCCATGCTGTATCCTCCAAGTTAGCTGGCTTGAAAGCTTCTAGATGTTTCTCTAGTTTCTGTTTCCTGTCTCACTGTGAAAGTGCTGAGACAGCAGATGCAGACCACTGCATCTGGCTTTTTACACGGATTCCAGGATCCAACTCGGGTCACCAGGCTTGTATGCCAAGTACTTTTATTTGCTGAGTTGTCTGGCTGGCCCCTAAATCTTTTTTTCAATAAGAAATTACATTAGATTCAGAGTCCTTTTTATGCTAATTAATTTAAACTAATTCAGACGTTTATAGAGAGCGAAAAGTAATTCAGGAGCCTCTTTTACTCTTCTCCAACTCTGTATATATGTGTACCTGTGTACCTGTATACATGTGTGTGGGTGGCATGTGCACATGTGTCCGCATGTGTATGAAAGCCAGAGTTCAACTTCGGATGTCTTCCTCAGTCTCTCTCCACTTTTCTTTTTTTTCAAGATAGGGTCTCTCATTAGCCCTGTGGATAGACCACTGATTCAAGTAGGGTAGGTGACCAGCAAGCCTCAGGGATCGCCTCCTGTCTCTGCCTTCCTGATGCCGGCCGGGCTTGTAGGTATGTGCAGCCACACTCAGCTTTTTTACGTGGCTGTGGGGGATCCCAGCTCAGGCCCTCATACTTGCATGATAAGCATTTTACCTCCTTAGCCACCTCCCAGTCTCTTCTCCCTCTTTATGCAAAGATAAACTTCAATTAATAATTTGGTAAGAAACTTTATAGTACCCCCCAACCCAGGGCATATGCCTTAATATCTTCAGGTACTAATTGATAGTAATCAGTATTTTTGTTCATAAAATTGTTTTTTTTTTAATGTAAATAGAAAATCTCAGAGATAATGTATTAGTACTTTGTAGATTCTAAACTATTGTTTTATGTACTGTTTTTAAATGAATAAATCTTCAATAAGTGTTTGAAAGTGAAAATGTTAATGCATTTAAACATTCTTGATGTGGTGGCCCACGCCTTTAATCCTAGACTGAGGAGGCAGAGGCAAGCATCTCTCTGTGAGTTCAAGGCAAGCCTGGTCTACATAGAGACTTCCAGGCTGGCCAAGTGAGACCCTGTCCAAAAACAAACAAACAAAAAGAACAAAGACAAAGACAAATTCTCAAAAATCGAGTTTTTTTATATACTTTTATTTCAGTGTGCTTTTTCTACTTAGTAATTGTGTTGTTGAGCTGAGAACATCTCCACCAGTAATGTGCTTGCTTGCCTTGCAAGCCTGAGGCCCTGAGTTCAGATCCTTAGCACCCACTTAAAAATCCAGGCAATCCAGTCTCTGTGGAGTGGAGACTATCTCTAGGGCTCAGTCAGTGAGTTCCAGGTTCAGGGTGAGAACCTGGCTAGATTAAAAAGGAAGTTGGAGAGTAATAGAGCAGGGCGTTGATGGCAATTTCAGTGCATACATGCACATTCACACACACAGTGTGTTGTGGATAGCTAAAGACTTCTTACTAGATTTTGAATACCTCAAGTTGTGAAGCATCTGGCTTTAAAAACCTTTCAAATTGTAGGACCTATTTAGGCATATATATTAGGAAAACTGAATGCATTCTGGAAAAAAAAAAATACGTTCCTGAGATTTCCTTTCAACAATACTTTTGAAGCACAGATAAACTTACTTCCTGTCACACAGTTTCCTGTATCCATGGTAACCCCGTTTTACACATTGACTGTAGAGGAACCAGTGTGAAGAGTGGCGTTTCCTGAGCAAGCTGTGACTTTAAAATTCAAAGGAGGTGGTGTGTTGGAGGTCAGCAGTGGCCCAGAAAGAAATTGAGTTAAGGAATGGCGCTCTTCAGACTTAAAACAAAAGTCTTTGCTTAAGTAAGCCAAGTGGTGATATGATTTTCTTTTTCTTGGTAAGATTATTTAAGTACAGACTTTTAGCTGAAATGAATTGTGTGGAAAACTACAGCTTGATTTTTCTATAGTGTTCATATTTTCGTAATTGCTATTTGCTGTTAGGTTTTATGTAGATTATGGGGCATGTATTCAAAAACTGTCAACCTAACATCATTTGTTGTTTGTTGTAGTTGGTTGTAATAGTTTATTTTAGCAAACATTTTTCAGTTATGGAGTTTGAATTATCTTTGAAAAGAGTGGGTTTCTTTGCAGTGTTAGCAGCTGTATTCCAAATGTTCATTGTAGAGTGCTCTCCCTCATAGTATGGAGGTAACAGATGTTCTTAGCTTATCCTAGTTTAAATAGATGACTGAAGTTTCAATATTTTGAGACTTCTGTTTTAAAACCTTTCTGATAATTTAAAGTTTTGTCTTTGGAGTTAATTCTGATATAAAAAAATGTTAGGTTGGCTTACATATAGATTATCATTTTCTTTGCCTTGCCTGTATTTATTTCTGATCGTAACTTAACATTTTGTATCATTATTGTATAAAGGAATACTAGGGTGCTTGTTTCTTTACCAGCTTTCTTGGGAAACAGACTAACACAGGTCTTTCACACTCCGTAGAATTTTCCTACAGTACAGTTTTCTGTAACTGATTGAGAATAATGTCTCATTTGAGTGAAAGTGAACTAATAGCACTTAACTCTTTTGCAGCATTATATTTGGATAACTCTAATGTTGTGTACGAATGTCTAAAGGCTTTATTTAATTAAGTCATTTATATTTTCTACCTCTAAACAGTTTTTATAAAATGCTTGGAGCCGGAAATATTTAACGGACTGTCAGATCTTTGTGATTAGTGTTTACAGTCTAATTGGGTGTCTTTTGTTCCAAGAAGATTGTTTAATGATCTGGTTTTAGGTCAGTGTCTGCATCTATAGAGGACTAACCTTACTTTGCTCAGCAGTGGTACAATTGTTCCCAGATTCTTGATTTATTGAACAATAAAAAATTAAGGCTATAGATCTCAGAGTTTCAACATCTTGTATCCCTTGATTATTTGTATCTAGAAAGTAATAATTTATCAAAAGTACCATTAAATGTGCTTACAAATCTTGAGACTGTCTTTATCTTGTTGACCTTTTGAAACATGATAGCCCTTTGCATTTCAAAGAGTTATCGGTGTAAAGTATCCCCTAAAGCAAGTAAGGATTATAATGTTACTAGGGTTGAGCTTAGTAAAATTAGCAATCTTAAACATTTGATTTTTACTTGTAATTACTTAGAACATTTAAACCTGATACATTTAGCTTGTTAAGGAATTTATCTTAAGTTAGAAACAATAATCTGAACATTGATAATGGTGCGTTTAAAATATGTAAGCATCTTTGAAGATCCTTAACCTGTCATTTAATAATCTTACAGAATTACATCCAAGGGTCCCTAAGCCATTGTCTTCATTGACTCATCTTCAGGGAAATTCCAATTTTGTGAATGCAAACTTTTGGGTCTTCAAGACTGGCTAGCCTCTTCAGCCATTGCTGTAAACATCTGTTGTCAGAATCCCCTATCTATGTGTGGCACAACATTATGTTATATTAAATGGACTGACATTACAAATTGCACTTTACCTTCGACAAACATATCCAGAGCTTGGGCTGTAAAATCTCTTCATATTCATCACAAGACCACTGCACTAATGATGGCCTGGCATAAAGTAACCACAAGTGGGGAACATTTGGAAAACACTGTGACTGAGAGCATTACCGTCTGGGAGCGGATCCGAGCTTCATCTGCCAGTAGGTTTTTTCAAGAGAATACACTTGGTAATAATGCATTAGAGACGACCACAGTTTTACCTGTGCAAATACAGCTTACTCCTGTTAACTTGAACTTGGAAAAAAACAGTGCTCTGCCAACTGATGCCTCTTCTGTGTCAGGAAAAACATCTCTAATTTGTACCCAAGAAGTTGAGAAGTTGAATGAGGCGTTTGACATTTTGCTAGCGTTTTTCATCTTAGCTTGTGTTGTAATCTTTTTTTTGATCTACAAAGTTATTCAGTTTAAACAAAAATTAAAGGCACTAGAAAACTCAGTGGAAAATAGACTTGAGTATTACAGCTTTTATCAGTCAGCAAGATATAATGTAACTGCCTCAATTTGTAATACCTCCCCAAATTCTTTGGAAAGTCCTGGCTTGCAGCAGATTGGACTTCATAAACAAATTGTTCCTGAAAACGAGGCACAGGTCATTCTCTTTGAACATTCTGCTTTATGAATCAATTAAATATTGACTATAAAAAACCATGTAGTGCCATGTGGATATAAAATTTAATCTTTCTTATAGAATTATATACTTTACTTGGAAACATAATAAATTATATGATGTTAGGATTATTAAGATGCATATTAGTAATTTGAATAAAGTGTATTTATTCTGCATATATTTTCTTTGATTCTGTGACAGTATAAGTAGCCAACTTTCTGGGTACTGAACAGCATGTTAAGTATGTGATATGTCACGAATAATGTTTATTTCTAAAATCTTGTAAGGCTGTACTATCTATATTTAAATTACACAGAAGGAAAAATAGGGAGAGAGAGTTTGAGTAATTTTCCAGAATTCTCATGACTTATGACATGTTGTAAGTCCATTTGACTTGAGCTGAAGCTTTTAATTTTATGTTTTATTGGTGCCTAGGCACTAGGCTTATATATAATTTTGAAAAATTAGATGTGATTCCCATTCTTGGTTGAACTTGAATCTAGAAGAAGACACATTATTACTGTGCAGTGTCTAAGCGCTGTTTGTGGAAGCACCTTTGGGTATATGTGGTGATGAAGCATAACTTTATGAAAAAAATAAAAAGCATTAAAAAAACTACTGTTCTGGACATAGTAGCACACACCTCTCAGTGCTCACACAGCAGAGGCAGGCAGGTTTCTGTGAATTCTAGACTGGCCTGGGTTGGATAGTAAGGCCATGTGTCAAAACCAAAACTGAACAATACCAACAAAAAAAAACCCCTTTATTATGAAACATAGAGATTAACCCAGTGAGGAGAGCTGTCAGAGCGGTTACCTTGTTAGACAGATTAATTAACAAGAAAGAACACTGTTTTCCATGACCTAAAATTCAATACACTCAGAGTTGCTTAAGTAGTGAGAGATTTGCAGCAGAAGAGAAAGATCAATGGATGAAAGCTATTAGAATTTCATAATTTATTCTGAGGGCCACTGGGAGCCCTTGAGGGATTTAAGCAGTGGAGAGATACTATGGAATTCAACCCGTTATAGAAAACGTTCACTTTTTATGGAAGGAACAAAATTAACTGGGTAAGAAGTAGAACCATTAACCCAGGTGGAGTTGCTCGAGGCCTGTACCAGTGTAGTGGTGGGCAGGATGGATGTCAAGAGTTACTCTGGAAGTCAAAGGACCTGCTTTGGTGATTGATGGAAGTGTGGCAGGTAAAGGAGAAATAAAAGATGTCCTGCTTTTGCCATAGGCCATTCTGTACTATAGTCTTGAAGCTAAGGAGTAAGAGGGAGGTGAGTGGGTCAAGATGATTCAGTTTTGAATTGATAGAATTTGAGATTCATGTATGTTTGATGTCCATGTGTAAATACCTGGCAAGTGGATGTTCAGAATCAAGGTTTATCTGGTAAAGCCAGTTCACGTTTTATCTTGTAACACTAAACACTTGCTACCAAAACCACAAGCACTTAAGATGTAATTTTGAAAAACAAATAAGCAAGAAAGATTAGGGCTTTAGCTTTTAGACTCTTTAAGATAGGCATTTAGTAGAAGAACCCAAGTAATGCAGAGATTTTCTATAATAGTACACATTTATAGTTATATACCACTCTGTATAATATTAAACAAGTAGTAAGCATTTGTGACAGTTAATAGTGACCTAACCCACAAATAGATGATCAACTATGTGTGTCTTTCCTCTTGATCCAAGTTTTATATTTTATTAAAAATTAATATTATCCATATGATATTGTTCTAAAGCATTCTGAGGTGTATAACCAAGTAATAATTTTAGCTTCCTTTATAAAGTGGGAATAGTTATGAGAAAGTTCTATATTGTACAGTGCCTTACTGTGGGTTCTCAATCTCAGATTCAACTAGGAGTTTTCTTATCACCCTGGTCTTTCTCAGATTCAGTGGGTGTCAACAGGCATGTTAGTTTTCAGGTGTTGCTTTGTTTTGTTTTGAGGCAGGATTTTATTGTGTAGACCAGGCTGACACAGTGTTGAGATTAAAGATGTGTGCCAACGTGCCTGTCTAGTTTTCAGTTTTAACAAGTTTGCTGATACTGCTGGTTGGGAAACCATGTTTTGAGAACCACTGCATAAAGATATTCGAGAGAAAACTGAGAAGGGTCTGAGTAGTTAGTTTAAGATGCATTAGAAAATGATAACAGGACCAAGAGGACCAGTGGGTAAAAGTATTTGCTGTGCAAGCTTAAGGGCCTGGGTTTGAATCTTTAGAACTTGGGAAAGCATAAGTGTGTGTAACCCCTGAGCGCCTGTGGAAGATGGGAAGCATAGAAGTGAAAACCCTTCGAGCTTCTAAGCCAAAGAGATCCTGTCACCAACAAGGTGGGTGGTGAGGGTGGATGACTGAGGTTGTCCTCTGTCCTCCTCATGTAATACATGCATTCACTATAAAAGATGATAATAGTAGTTTCCTCTGCACCCACTCGAGAGGGTTTGTTGTTTAGTTCTTTCTTCCTGACTGACGATTTCAAGGTGGGAGGGGTGATTATAGTAAAAAACTAACAAACAAAAACCCTTTATTTTCTTATCATTTATGACTGGAATGAATGTTTTTTGGATTTTTTTGTTGTTTTTGGCCTGAGACATTTTTATTAATGTTTCTTTTCATTAAGTTCTCCAAATTCCTACTGTTCTAGTTGTTTTCATAGCTAAAGGTACATTTAATGGAAGAGAAAACCAAACAGTGCAGAAGTATATATAGTAAATAGTAAAAGTTTCTTCATGCCCCCAAACTGAAACCCTGTCTTGAAGACATTCAAGAGAAACATAATTGTGTTTGGAGTTTAGAAAAATCTGTATAATGGGACTTTTACTTTGATCTTAAAAGTCCCAAAATTAAAGACTCCAGTGGTATGAGACAGAAACTTAAGCAACAGTTTTTAAAAATGGATCATTTTATATGTATTTTTATAGGTAGCTTATAACGTGATTTAGACTCAACCAGAAAACTTTAGTTCTATTAATAGTGATCTATAAACGGAACTACAATCGAGCACGTAGGTTTTCATGAAGTATTCATTTTGTATGTTGTCAGCAGGTACTCGCTTTAAAAGTATTAGTCAGCTTATTTTCTGTCTTTTGGCATTTTAAGTTTAAAAACATGAAGTATAGTGGAAGTAATGTGTATAGTAAGTTTTTACAACAATTTGCCTGTTTTATGTTTTGAGTAGCCTTATAAAGCATACTTGTCCATTTTTTAGATATCTATTTTTTTTTTTTACCATTTATTACAAGTTCTTGACTCTACTGTTTATTAAATGTTCTTGGTTAGAGTACTCAGGAATAAACAGGCTCCAATTTAAAATACTTAAATTTCAGGGAGATATTTTAGAAACTGAACAGAGTTTTCCATTGAGCATATAAGCAGTGGTTAAAGTCCCAGGGCCATTTCATGGAAGGCTCTTTCTCTGGTAAATAGGCTACCATTTATAACTGATTTGTGGAATTTCACAATCTTATCTCTGCCTTTTGGAATAACTGCAAACCACTAACACTCTCCTGTCACTGTAAGAGAGACATTTTCTACAAGTGAGGACGTATGTGTTACCAGAGGATACCTGGTGGTCACCTCACATGAAGTGACCAGGAAATAAAAAACTCCACATCTGATGGAGAAAAGGCCAGGGTGAAGATCAAGGAACCCCATGTCTTCTAGAACTAAAAGACTGCCCGTGGTTTGATAGCCAGAGGCTAAGTGATGGGCAGTTTGGATAGACATTGTGAGAGAGTGAGGAAATGATGTGAAACAGGCAGCCAGGAAAGAGATTGTCTGGGTAGCTTTGTTCTTGTGGGAGGTTTTGTGCTTTCTCATGTATAAAGTTCCAGGATTTCTTTTGGTGAGTCTACTGTGTAGGTGTGGGTGTGTGGTTTTACCACCTGTTTGTAGTGGGGGGGGGGGGGGTGCGAGCCCTTGGAGGCCAGAAGATGATTGTGGATCACCTGAAGCTAGAATTAAAGTTCTTGTGAATCACCAGATGTAGATTCTGAAAACTGAATTTGGGTCCTTTGTAAGAAGTGCAAATGCTTTTAGCCACTGAGCTGTTTCTCTGGTCCCTAAAAAATGGTGGTAAGGAAAAAAAAATCCAAAACTTACTGATGTATAAATTAATACAGAAGCATATATGACCATGTAGTCATACTCTGGTCAAGAAACAGAATGTTCAAACAAGGTATTTGCATGTATTTCCTGAGCCTATGAATTGTACATGGCATCCAAGTAGTTAAACTTTGAAATGAACATTTTAATTCCATTTTCTTAACTGCGCAGCAGCACATAACAGTCAAGTCTTACATATGTATTTTTACATGTTGTTTTTAGATGATGCAGGAGAAAGGGGAAAAAAAGCCTAGATAACCTCTTAGAAGATACTGAAAAGCAGCATTAATGCTACACTTCTCTACTAGATGTTACCACCATCTGCCTCCTTCCTTATTCATGGACCTGTCACTAGGTTCTGGCATCTTGTCTTAATGCTGACCTTCAAATAAGTCCACAGGGAGTTGTAGCGCCATGTGTGCTGTGAAGGAAGGAAGGGTGTGTGAGACAGTTGATCTCTATTTCCTACTGAACAGTTGCTTCTTAGCTCCTCTCCAGAAGTCCCAGTTCATTTTTCATTTGTTTTTTTTTTTTTTTGTTTTTTTTTGTTCTTGTTTTCAGACTATCTTATGAGCTATTAGGCTAGTGGAGAGGAGTCTAACTCACTTTTATTAGTTGTTCAGGATCCATCTTCTTGATGATTTTAGTTTTGGAAATGATAGGTAATTTCTGGTATTTTTATAATATATAATATATACATTATATATTATGCTGTTGTCAAGCATAATATATAAATACCGATTTCAAAGTGCCTCCTGCCACTAGTTTGCGCCCCCCCCCCCCCCCACCTTTTGGTGAATTTTGAGGTTGGATCTTGCTATGTAGTCCACATTGGTCTGGAACTTGTGATTCTCCTGCCTCAGCCTCTTGAGTGGTTAAATTACAGGCCTTGACTACCACACTTGGTGTTTACCATTTTGCTAAAGCTAGTAAGCATATATGGCTGCACCCTTAGTGGCCAGTGAAATCTTATGAGTTAAAATAGTGTGAATGAGAGGCATGTGGTATACCTGCAGCTGGCCCAGATCTAACTCTTACGTCATGTGGTAAAGTAGAGGAT